TGAGATATTATTATGTTCACAGCTCATTTTCAAAGTAATTGGCTCTTTAGATAAGTTATTAGCAATATTTATAAAAAAGTTATTAAACATATTGGAAGCTACAATTGGATCTTTTTTGACATTTAATTCAATTTCGTTATATTTTAATTTGATTATTTCATCTTTTGATCTACATTTGTCACCAATTACTTCGTTTATTAGTTTCCATGTTAAATTCGGGTTAGAACTTACATTTTTAAATTTTTGTTCATAAAATTTTATCTTTGCTAACCTAACGGAATTCGTAAAGTTATTTTTTTATTTTTTTTAGTTTAAAGCTAAACATTGATTGTTAGGATGTTTTTTACATTTAATTGATAGATATTTTTTACGTCGGGCTGAGATTAATAATTCGTTAGTCATCCACTCTTTTAAACGTTTATTTTTGGCGCTAATTAATCTACATGTTGTAGATGTATCAATTGCAGATTTAATTTTAGAATCGAAAACGGAATAGCATTTATTAACATCACTAATTTCATTATATACTTCAGTCCATTTTTCATTAGCTAATATAGATAACAGAAGATTGTAATTAATTGTACTAAACATTTTATTTTTTTGAACAAATAAATATTAATTGTTTATAAATAATTTTAATAAAAACTATTATTGTTTAGAATCTTAATAGTTTTTACTATATAAAAAAGTAGTAAACGTTATGTATTATTTTGTCAAATTTTAATAACTTGGTTTTTATATATTTTAGAATATTAAGTGCATATTTTGAGCTTTACAGTCAAAATTAAGTGCTTTTTTTAAATACTTAACTATTGTCCATTGAATCACAACAAATTTGGGAAAAGGAACTATTATAAAGTATATTAATGATTCTCGATCGCGTTAATTGCTATAAATACATTAGTTACTTAAATTTTGAACAGAATAATATAATATGCTTAATATTTAATTTATCATATAGGTATTATTAAAATAATTTCAACTGTATAAGTATTAATAATTCACAAGAGAACAAATTTTCAACCATTAATGTTGGTGCTTGGGGCAGTTGTCACCATTTCCCCTCCCCTTAATCTGGCTAAATACAGCACTCAGATCCTCATATAACCATCCCTGCTGTACGATGGATCTTATACACGCTCAAACTTGATCTGTCATACTCGTGCCTCGTATACCCCATGCCACAATAGATTCTATTTTCTAGATCCATTTTGACATGGTCTACACGTTTGATATGTTGTGCAACCATAATAGTATAATACATCCACTTTAGAATGATTATTTTAGAAATCGAACCAAACCAAGTCTTACACTTCGTTGTACGATTAATTGTATTATGTATGGTGAATGGAACGTTTTTTTGACCAAGCTTCGCGGGGGCCTTGCTTATAAACTAACAAATAATAATAGGTACAGAAAAGCTCAGGGTCTCGGCCGCGTTCGTGACGCTTAGCCAGACTGACACTGTACAAAAAGTTTAATCTGAATACACTACAGCCATTGTGGTCACGGTCAACAAATTATAAAAATCAAATATAATAATTTAAAATATATGATGCAGTTACTCAGTGGCGAAGATACAATTTTTTTCTGAGGGGGGAGGGTTAAAGTATATATTAGTAAATATTTATGATACAAATTATTAGTTAAACTAAACGTCATATTTATTATGAATTAGTATTAGTAATTAGTTTAAAATAGTATTTCATGAAATAAAATGGACTCGACGTTAATTGTTAGTAAATATTTCGTCCAAAACTTTATTTGCGTCTACTGATAATAAAAGATGGAAGGACAGCGCTTGCCAATCCTTTTAATCTTTCCTAAAAATGTAAAATGTCATTAATATTTTTATTTTATTTAAATACCCAGTAGCTATACATTATATTATATGAATAGTGAATACATCTGCCATTATATTCCTTAGGTACGTTTTAATTATCTTCAATGATGAAAAATACCTTTTGGATGAGGCTGTTGAAATAGGCAGTGTTGCTAAAATTTGGATACATGTTATTGCAGATAACTAAAGCATCCATACCTTTTTTAGGTTGTTTATCTAGTGTAAGTATTTTACTTGTGCCAAGTTTCTGACTATTTATTTTACTGATTTGGAAAAAGCAACACAAAGTTCACAAAATGTAACTTTTTTTCAAAGTATACTAATCAACGCCATTTTAATAACCAATTAAATTTAAATTTTGGTTGTTTGCCCTTTTTTATTTTTATCGAACCGTTTATGTATGGGAAAATTAAATGTTATATCTGGTGTCCATATATTATTTATAACTGCATGAATTTCACTATGAAACAACACACGGTTAACAAAACTAACTATTCATTTATTTTCACATCAAAGTGTCATCGGAGCTTTCAAGTTTTAATTTTTAAATTCTTTTTAGGAGCCAATGCATTTTCTATAACTGGATTTTTTGGTTCCGTTTTCTAAAAAACAAAATTAATATTTTGATTATCTACCTAATTATTTATAAATTTTTAATATACAAATACCTGTGTTAAGTTAAGTAACACTATTAATAATCGCGAAAGTATACGAATACACCATAATAAAAGCTAATATTGTGTAGTGTAAAATAAAAATTAAGTACTAAACTGCAGTAACATCGATAAAAACAAACAATAAATACTAAAACTGTTAAATACACAATAGTTTAATTATTATTTTATTAGCACATACATATAACGGTAAGGTTGACGTATTATAGAACTTATGGCTTATACTAAGTAGAAGGTCTATGACACAGTAGCGTACACGTCGAGAGGGAGGGGGGGGGGGTGTTCAAAACAATAACTCGGCATTTTTTTCACGTAATTTTTTCTACATAATTAAGTAAAAATTAATAAAATTAAAAAAAATTGTTTTGACTTTTTAAAAGTACCAATTAGATTAGACCGGAAAGATGCTGAAATTAAAAATCAAAGCATATTTTCTACCACATAAATTAAAAAGTGTGTGTACTTTGATAGACATAATTGTAAAAGCAATACATTCATCGTTCCATTCAGAATCTAAGATTAATAATCTCAGAAATGTAAATTATATATTAATTTACGCTATCTTATATTTACAACAGAAATTAATATTAAAGATTTGAATTTGATTCTTCAACCATATTTTAAAAACAATGTAAGCTTTTAAGAACCTACCTAATTTATATTTATCGATGGTGACTCCTACTGTGATAATCTAAACTCTATAGGTAATTCGCCCTACCTATAATTATTATAATTTGGTATAGGTACCTGGTACCTACTAGTTTCTACCTATCATGTTCCTACGCGTATAGTATATCAGTATATGTCACCATTTTATATGATTTATTCATTACGTCGATAATATTTAAGATAGTACCTTGATATTTTTATTTTAATTCAATTTTCGCAAGGTTTTACGGTAGTAGTCTAGTGGAAGGGGTAAATAATTATTTTTTAAATGTTTTGTTTGGTGTAAGTAGGTCGTAAGTAAATACAGTCAAAACTCTTTATAACGAATCTGAAGGGACCAAGAGATTTCTTTCGTTATAGAAAGTTTTCGTAATAGAGAGGGTTTAAAAAAAAACAAAATTTTAATTATTTATCAAACACATCATTATTTTTACATTATTTTATATATATTTACGTATTATATTAAATTATTATTATTATTATACATACTTATTAAATATAATTTAATTTTTATACTATACATATTTATACTTTATTTAAAATAGTCTGTCATCTTAGTTTGGACTTTTTTATTCGGCATTATTGCCGATTATTTTTATAGTTTATACATGTAATGGATACGATAACACGTAAATTGTATTATGAAACATAAAATATCGTTTCGTTATTGAGAGTGACTAATACGTTATAGAGAATGAATTGTCTAATGGGTTATATAGCAAACCAACAATTATGATGTAATGTTTACGTTATATAGAGTTTTTCGTTGTAAAGAGTTTCGTTATAAAGAGTCTTGACTGTACTATCGAAAATTATGTTATAATTTGTGATATTACTGATATTTTTTAAATGTTCTTTAAAAGAGGTATGAAAACGTTGGAAACTGGTAGTTACTAGTTATCAATATATTATATTATTAGTCAAATAGTCAAGGGCGCAGATTGAAATGTACTAAAAAATACGATTTAATGCACTAATAATATTACCTACTAAATTAAAAAAATGGCTTTATACATTTTTTTGAACATAATATTAAATAAAAATGATTAAACAAAAATGTATTTAAAGGTATATTATTGATTATTGAATTATTTAATAAATAGGCACCAAGGCACCTATTGTATATTTTGTATCTTTCTACACAGCCACAATTTGGTGTTATGGCGTTTGATGCAATTTGTAAACAAAACGATCGATGCCTACCTATCTATATAATATTTATTTTATATACCATTTAAGTACAACGTTCTTCCTTCGATGTATGTACCAACTACCAAAAGTGCCAATAATACTTATGTGTCTGTATTCGACATTCGTGTACGTATATGTGACTCCGCTTTTGTCTGGTACCTACATACGTAATGATGTAACTACGTAGGCAATAAAAGTAATATGACGTATAAAATAATAACAATAAATTAATACTTATTTAGTTTTTTCTTTTTTGTTTGGTAGTTTATGATTTAAGGTATGCAATTTCTTAAAATATATTTTACACTGCCTATAAAATTAAAAAAAAAAATCCTTAATGATAAAAAATGTAAAATAGGTACGTTTCATTTTTTCGATGTATCACGTATAAAATGAATTTTGTACATATTATTTTAATAATTAATTTTAGGACATTGAAAAAAAAATACATTTTGCATTTGAAATATTTAAAATTCGTGTCCTAGTAACTAGTAATATTGTAATAATTAAGGCGCGAATGCTGAACATAAATTATTTGTTTTATCAATAATTTCTTTGGACATTTTTCTTTTATCACTTGGCCACATTTATTATTGATAAGCTGTTATCTGTGCATCTGACATCGAAATGTTTATTTTATTTAGTGTAATGATCATTGACATTTTTAATCCACCTGTATACATTTTGCAACAAGTAATTAATAATTATTTTCTTTGAAAAAGCACTTAATTTCGAATTATTTTTATAAGTTATCTGAGTTATACCTTTTACACTTCTACAACAAAAGAAATTATGATATGAGATAAAATATCGTAACGTCATTACCAAAAATGTGTCATGAAATATACTTAGACATATAGTTATGAAGTTTTAAGCTTAAGTCTTATTAATCCTCACATTTGTATAAATATTTTATTAAGTTCAAGCATTTATGGGTGAGTTTGTATAATTATTTATTACACTGACAATATTATTATTCATTGGTATGGGTAATCTGTGATTAGAATAGAATTTACCGAGGTACCTATATAATTGAATAGTTTCTTTCACATAAATAGGCATTTAATTAATAGCTTAGATACATTATTAACACAAATAAAATAATACTATAGGTGTTTGAACTTTAAAGATTTTTGTATTAATATATTTCACAGGTTTTAATTATTTAATAAAATAATTTCAATATGTTTTCAAAACAATATTTTATTGAAATATAATTTATTATAAGACTAAACAACTATTTTCAATAATGGAAATCAATTAATTATCGTGTCTGGTCTAAATATATATTATTTTCCACCCAAATTATTATGTTAATACTTACCGTAAAGATTAAACAAAAATGTTACATTCTCAACCATGATTTGGCTTTAGTCCAACATTCCTAACTCACTCATACAGTCATACCATATTTTATTTTTTCATTACTGTAGCTTTGCCAAAATACATATTCCTATGTATGCTTATTTATAACAAGCACTATGAAGTTCACAATCATTTTTATCAATAATATTTTTTTTTCTGAGTAATATGAGGCATTACTAGTTTTACTTCTCAGTTTAAACATATAATGTTGCTGTTTTTATAAGTTGTTTTATTTTTAATTTGTTACAGTTCATGAAGTTTTTATAGTGAATCCAAAATGACTTCTAACGAGCCACTACTCGTTCAAGCTGTATATTCATTTAAAGGAAAAAATAATGACGAGGTAAAATAATTTGTTGAAATCATTGAGCTTGTGCTTATATTCAATGTCATTTTGATATTTTTTAATACTGCTTATTTAATCTTAGTTTATATTTTTATAAATTATCAATAATATTAATTTGCTTCAATATTCATTGAACTGTAATATTATATTTTCATGTCTTTAATCCTTTTATATCCCTTAGAGGAGACCTTGAACCAACGTAATGGTATGATTTTATTTTATTTTTTATATTTTATAATCATTAAGTGTTATTTATTAATTGTGTGCTGAGCTTGAAGGCGTATATAAATGCACGAAGTCCAGATATCATCAATACATTTATATTTTATTTAATATTGAAATGTTTCATTCAAATTATTCTAATATCTTGCATATAGCTGTGTTTGAATAAACACGATATTGTGATTGTCACTCAAAAAGAGGATGGTGGCTGGTGGGAAGGAACCCTTAAAGATAAAACTGGTTGGTTTCCATCAAATTATGTTAAAGAATATAAACCTCAAGGTAAAACATTAATTTAAGTTTATTTATTGTTACCTATGATATTGTAAATTGTATTGTAGGAGAAAATATTACAAACAATAAAGTGCCAAATATACCTGTGGATTTAACTGAACAGTTAAGAGCTAACCGAGCTGTGGTTGTTATGGATATTGTGGAATCTGAAAGAGCACATGTCACTGAATTGAAGACACTTATTCAGAGTTTTTTAATTCCTTTGAAAAACTCAAATATGTACTAAATTTTATCATAATCAAATTTAAATATAATAATGATAATAATAATAATAATAATTTTACTTTAGAATGACTATTGATGAGTACAACCAATTAGTAAATAATATTGAAGAAGTTTCAAAAACTCATGAAGGGCTTTTGGAATCATTGGAACAAGTCTCTGGGTTACCGCAGTCTGATCAAAGAATAGGCAAACTGTTTCTAAACAAAGCATCTTTTATTCGGACTGTACATATGCAATATTGTGCTTCTCATCCCAGAGCAGTTAATATCATTGATAAATATAAGTATGTCCTATATTATTTTGATTTTATGTATGCTTAATTAATTTACCTTATACATTACACAATTTAATTTTAGAGATGAATTAAACCAAATAATGGAAACACAAGGTGCAGTTAGTCCTGGTATTTTAGTACTCACAGTGTCATTAAGCAAACCATTCCGAAGATTAGACAAGTATAGTGGGATGCTCCAAGAACTTGAACGACACCTTGAAGAAAGTCATGTTGATAGAGGAGATACCCAGCGATCCATCAGTATTTACAAAGAAATTGCGGTTTGTAGATTTTTGTACCATTTAAAATCTTTTTCTTCTATTCGTGACAGTATCACTTAAAATAAAATACAGTTAAAATAACAGCTAGTATAACATTTGAATTTGAATTTGAATTTGTTAAATTATTTTTTGTAAGTATTAAACCATAAGGTTGATTTATACAATAGTCAATTGTCTGTCATTGCGAGGTTAAACAGATTACATTTTGTGGCTGTCTTAAATTCTGAGAAAGATGTGATCACAAAACTTTTTGAGATTTTTTATTGTTAAAATTGTATTTTCAAAATAAATGATTTAAAACCAATATTTGCTTGTTTTACTAAGTAAAAAATATGCAGTTAAAATGTATTTACAAGATGATTATGCTGAAATAAATTGCAAATATATATTTAATTTTTCAGACTGTATGCTTATCAACAAGAAAACAAAAAGAATTGGAATTATCAATTTTAAGTGGAGTTGTACAAGGATGGGAAGGCACTGATGCATTAAGTTTAGGCGATGCAATTAAAATTGGTTCTGTTGCATTTGGTTCGGAGCATAAAGATAGATATCTAATGTTGTTTTCTACCCAACTAGTTATTTTATCAGTGTCCCAAAGACTAAGTTCATTTATTTATGAAGTAAGCCAAGACTTTATTATTTCAGTGGTTGCTGCTTATTATAATCACTGTTAATGTTAATAATGTTATCTATCTTATATTTTTATCAAAAAGTTTTTGCGCGGGCCTTAGATCATATCATACCATGCCCATCTCCCTTGTGAGAAGTATTTGAAGCACATATAAGCAACAAGTCTCTGACAGAGGTACAGAGATGTGTGCATGCGTAAGGCAAACCTTCACATGTTTAGCTGTTGGTTTATGTACTTCAAGTTATCGGACATGGTTGATGGGTAATGGGTCCATTCATAGTATATGATTTAAGGTACAGGCTGTGTTATGCGCTTACTTTAATTTTTGTTTAGTGCTATCAATCTGTTTAAGTTATCTGTCTTGTCCAGTATCAAAGTAATTACTTTAACCGGTAACTACTGTATTTTATTATGACAACACTATAATGAGTAATGACATTTACTGACAATGTGTCCATGGGTTATGTATATAAATGTCTACAGTTTAGTGGTTGCAAACACTAACTGATTTTAGTTCATAATTTATTAAATTCATCTTCAATTATTTCTATGTTAACTGCCTGTGTATTTAGTGCATAAATATGTATAATTTGTATGAAAACTGTTGTTTCAAAGTAATATTCAAGCTTAATTTATTATTTCTTTGATGTTTAACTTTTGGTCCTTGACCTCTATTAACAACCAGTTATGTCAACTTTTGATAATCATGCTAAATTATTCAGCTGTCTTAATAAACTTTGACATACAATAGAGATTACCAACATTTACTATTACATGTACATAAAATAAATTGCCTTTTTTGATTTGAAGTAAGTAACTTTACACAGAATTGTGATTGAAATGTAGTTAATTTTTATATTGTGTTGCTCATTAGAAAGATAAATACAGTAAATGTTGGTATATTGTCTTCTGAATATGTAATAATAAGTTCTTAAAATAAAAATAATATCCTTTTTTATTTCTTGGCCCATCAAAATTTGATTATATTTGTTAAATAAAATGCAAATAGACTCAGTTATAGTTATGTTTATGTTTTTTTTAAGGGTACACTACCATTAAGCGGAATTTGTGTCAAGAAACTAGATAATAATGGTGCCATTAAAAATGCTTTTGAAATATCGGGTAAACATATTTATTTAGCAATCATTTATTAATAATATTGTCAGATTTTTTTTTAAGCACATGAATAAAAATTATGGTTTATATTTACAGGCCCTTTAATTGATCCAATTGTTGCCGCTTGTCAGTCCAAAGAAGAGCAAATTGATTGGATACAAAAAATTAATAAGCAATTAGGAAATAAGAGTGTCATTAACACTACATCTAGCAAATCAGTAAGTCTAAGCCTTGGTCGCCTTAGTGATTATTTCGCACATTTAGTATGCAAGGGTGTCATAACTCGATCACTTTTGAAATTAATTCTTTACACACAATACATAAATAATATTGATACATCAAAAGTTGTTAGGCGTTATGCTAATCAACATAGTGCATTTTATTCTCCTTGTAAAACTAAACAACACTGTTTAGAAGAAACACAGTACAATGAAAAATCTAATGTGTTGAATAGTTATAATATTTCATCACCGAGACATTGCTCATCAATGGTTTTAAAAGAAGATGGAAAAGTTATTTATGGAAAAAAGCTGTTGTTCACTCCAATTCAAACTAAAGCCTGTCAAGATTTAACTATGTCAACATTGTACAAAGAAGATATGAATGATAACTATAGTAAAAATCTTTTGAACTATGAAACTAATATTGAAAATTTAAAACCAAAACATTTGACGATTCCATTGCTAAATACAGATAATAAAGATGATATTTACTCATCAGATAATCAGGATAGTACTTTTTCCTTGTGCGATTTAAAAACGTCCTACTGTTATGATAACAATTGCGATGATGAAAAAGATACAGAAATAAGTCAAGATTTTCAATATTTTTATTTTAAAGATCATAATAGTTTGAGGTCATCTGATTCTGGGTTGGCCGATATCACAATTCCTGTTACACAACAATCGCCATTACCGCCTACTGAAACATCTAGTAGCAATTCTGAAAACTTGTGTAAATGTTCTTCGTCATTACATATCAACTCATGTATTTTTGAAGATGATTCATTGTTAAGGAATAATAAAGCATCTATGCCGCTTGACAAAGGTGTTACATTTCGTTCTGAACTTTATGCACATTGGTGGCTCAAAAAAAAGCTACAGGGACCTCCTGGCAGTTGTGATTCAGGCAAGATATTAATTTATATTTGACTGTGATTGTGTTGCTAGTTGTGTCACACAAATTATACAGTTTGAAACTAACATCTGACATTTGCCGAGTTGATTTTTTCTTTACAAATATCCTTTTATTATACACCGATGGACATTAAGATAATTGACTGTATGCAGTGGCGGCTTGTGTTGGTTCAACTTTGTAGTGCAAACAAATGTATGTACCTCCCACCTCATTGTCAAAACAAAAGTCTATTTATTACTTAAAGAAAAATGTTAGCATAATCTGACTAATTTTTGCCTTGTAACCACCACTGAAACCAAATTATACATACATAATACATTTACCAAAAAGGATTGACCATTAATGTATAATTAAATTACATGATAAATAACTTGAGTATAAAAACACTATAATATTATACATTTATCCTGTAAAAATATTATGTTCTCCTTAAATTTTTTAACTACCATAACAAATAATTTTATTTTTACCTATTTAGTATTTAATTAATCCATGGTTTTTAAAATTAAAACTCTCTTTTTCTGTTTTTTTGTATTTACCAAAGATGTAGCACATACTATTGCACAAAAACCCAAGCTGCTACTGATTGTTGTATATTATGTAAAAATCAATATATATATTTTTTTTTATTTTTAATTTTGTCATTACGGTAGTGTTCAATAATTTAGCTTTTAAAAACTACAAATGTTATAAATGCCTAGAATCACATAGCCGATCATTACTTAACTATTCCACCAATGTGTATTATTAAATTATTTAGATAGTGATGTTCATACCATCATATTATACAATGCTATTAGCATACATTTTAACATAACATGATTGTCTATGCTTAAACAACCCTATTTTTAATAATGGACTAACAATAATAATTTCATATTTAAAAGTAAAATGAATAATAAATATTTACTTTATATGTATTTACTTTGTCATGCTAATTGCCGTGGTTAATATTTTTTTTAACGGAAATAAAAATATTTCAAATTATTACTTGTATTACCTACTTATTATACATACTTATAGTACAATGATCTGTTATATACATAAATCTTCAAGATTTTTGATTAAAATATTATTTTTTATTTTAGATGGAAAAAGTTAATAGATTAGCTTGGGATGTGACAAGACTTAGACCCATTCCACCACTTCAATTTTATCACAACATTAATGAAAAAAATATCCGTGTAGCAAAAAGATGTGAGTATATATTTCTATGGACTTATAAAGTTTTGAATTGTATTCCTTATACTCCATTATTATTAAAATATATAAAAAATACTCCCTATCCCTCACTGTATAATCATGAGCGTGCACAAACTTAAATTGCAGAAGCAGCATACAGAATAAAGCGACCCATTTTCTTACAATCGACCAAATAAATTTTCAATATTATTAATTGTATGATAGTAGAATTGATCTGATTGTAGACTGTGTTACTGATACAACACTGGCTTTAACAATATAATTTGTTATTATGATTAAAGTTACTTATAGTTGTATACCAGGTATAAAGTATCAATTATATCCAATGAATAAATTGGTTCAGATCCATTTTATCTACTTGTATTAAATAATTAATTTTCTTGGCCAGCTGCTGAGAGTGACTAAGTGAATATAACTTGCACTGCCGCGGCCATCAGGCCAATCAATCTCCCAAAAATATGTGGCAGATGCAGCATCTTCTGCTACACCTATTCGCACGTTTATGTATATAATCTGTAATATCAACATGTGGTGAAAGAGGGACATACAATAACTAAAGCTCTTTTAGCAAAGTTATAATATTCACTTTATTTTAAATAATTATTACTAATAACAATTATACTACACATTCTTTGTACATTCTTTTATTCTTTTATTTTTTTGAGACAAATCATCCTGTTAAGACTGTTAAAATATACAATTTGCATTTATGTTAATATTATGTTTTCAGTGGTCTTAGAATATTTAACAATTAATTATTGTTGAACTATAATTCACTTTTACATGGTACAAGTATATTTTGCACCTCAAAATCTAAATCTCACTATGTACAAGACAAACATTAATGTGCAAATAACACTGAAAATAGTCAAATTAAATAGTAAGCACAATGATAAATTCATAAAACCGCTGATAAGAACCTAAAGAAAATCATCTCACAGAACAAATTCCCACAGGAAAATAAACCCATGTTTCTTTAAATGTATTATTTTGGATAACATATTATTATAGCTAACGACAGAGTAGAGGTAGTTTTTCATCCTTCTTCATCCTACTTCTAGTTTAAGAAAAATTAAACAAATTGCCTTATCAAATTCATTTAGCACATTTTTATTAAATGAAGTAAGTTTATTAATTTTTTTTCCTGATACCCATGAAATTCCAAGATGGGTTTAGTTGCGTTCTCTGCCACTTAGTTGATATTAGTTTTCTCTCTTTACATCAATCCATTTATTAATAGCTCAATAAATATTTACAATATTACCACTGGTTATAGTTGAGGGTATTACCACAATATTACCTTTTTAAATTGAATTTTAAACTTAAGCTATTTTTCACAATCTAAATTTGAATTTAGACTGAGTTAGTTATTTAATTGTTGTAGATGTTTTAATTAAAAATGTCAATTATAAATTTAAAAACCTGTTGTTTTTTTAAAATTTAGCTGAAAGAACATTTGAAGATGATGGGAAAGTCTTGAGAGTATTTGAAGCATTTTGTTCAAATACAAAATCACGTCATGCTAGTTCAGGTGATCATTCTTTGTTATTGTTGTAAATTATGATGTGAAATAACTTAAGTAGTTAAATATATCTAAATACAATTTTATTATAATTTCTGTACCACTAATAATGCTGCAAAGCTGTAAATAATATTTGTTAGGCAATAGATAGTATTATGTTAAATAACAATAACAGATATGTTAACGATATATTATTATACTAAAAATATTTTTCCTGTCAAGTAAAATTTTGAAAATTTGAAAATTATTGTTTGATATTAATATTAATCTACTTTTATATATGTATACATTTGTTTTTATTATGATTAGCCCTATACACAATCATATCAATTCAACAAGTTTATGTTAATTGTGGATAAATTTAAATGTTGATTTAGTTAAACTTAAGTTTACTGTTGCATGCATTGTTCCATTTAACTATTGATGGGAAAATATAAATTTATAACGGTATTGAATTGCAGGAATTTAAATTGAAAATCTGCCATTGACTGTTACTTCTCATACATTAAGTAAATCCAAATGGACTTGAATACAATTTGTTAATGAATATGTTATTTTTAATTTTAAGTTATTATTTTATACTATATTATTGTACATTTTTATAAATTGTTTAAATAATTAAATATTTATCTGTATTACAATGAATTAATTTATAAAATCATAATATATTATGTTATATTTTAGAAAAAATTATAAAAATACATTGTAACATTTGTAATAATTGTAGCATTGACTAGTTTACTATTTAATAATGTTCAATAGCTCTCAGTAGTTGATGAAAATCTTTCGAAGAAATTCACTGTTTATGAGTGGCATAACATAAGCCCTTCAGTACTTGAATTAAAAATGGTCCCCTACAATGTTTCTTAGATAAAACTGTAACTGAGTAAGACACTCAGTTAATTTCATTAGTTTCATAACTCTTAACTGATGTAAAACTTGTTATAAATTAAAACTGTATAATTTCTGATCAAAACAAAATATATATTTATTATTATAATATATATGATTATTAATAACTTAAGAGCAAGAGGCGTTTAAGCCATACGCATAATTATTGTTGAGATAAAAGAAAACAAATTTAATTTCTAAAACAGGTATTAAAGCTGTGTTTGAGTGTGTCTAGGTATCAGTAATCACTGGTGTGATCGGATCTGAATGGGCAATCCACTGTTGATAGTTAATATTTAAAAGTAGGTCATTTTCATTGCATGTACGATGTACATTTACAACAGTATTTTAATTTTCAAGCAAGTTATACAAAAGTTTAAATTGTAATATTTTACATAATATGTACTATTGTACTCGTGATATTGTAATATCTCTCACTTTCAAGTTTCAAACATCAGATTATGTACCAGTGGAGTGTTCAAATGTTCAGAAACTGTTGAGTTATATTCAATTTTCAAGCCTTAGCTATAAAAATCGAACATTTTATAAATTTTTAATTAAAAATTGATTTTCAAATGTTCGTGATTTTGAAGAACTTTGTCAAAAGTCTAACTCCAAATTCTTATAACAAAAAAAATGTGCCAGTTATCTTTAATAGTTTTAATTTTCTATAATAACAACTAACGAGGAATCACGTACTCAATTTTTATGTCTTAGATATAAAAAAAAAATTGGCAAATCATCTATAACTGGTTGTACCTACGATAATCGGTTTTATTCTAAAACACTTAACGCACGTCTTATGTATGGTATTTCATGCAACAGTGGCGTAGCCAGGATTTTTTTCGGGGGGGGGGGGGGGGCAGCGGTGGCTTAGTTTTCGATCGAATACCATAGACCATTAAAATAATTTTTAAATTTTATTAACATTTCGGGGGAGGGGGGGCTGCAGCCCCCTCAACCTCCCCCCTGGCTACGCCACTGCATGTAGCAACGACTTACGAATTATTCAGATTACGGTCATTCGTTAATGTAGATGGAGTCTTACACGTGGGAAGTCGTAACTGCACCAGATATGAACCCCGTAGCCAATAGGCGTGTTCAGACTTTGGTGGCCGAGGGGGCACAAAAATTTTTTTAATTGTGAGACCTATTTTTTTTTAGACATGAAGAAACATTCATTATTTATGTTACAAAATTCACAATGGTAGGAATATTTTTTAATTATGATCAAAAAGTATAACCATTGTCAAAACAATAAAAATGCATTTAAACTAAATTAAAAACAGATGCATATTAAAGAAAAATTTATCCCGGCATGATTATTTTGGAGGCACAGTCTGCCGGGAAGCCAGTGCCCACCCGGCCCCTCCCGTAAACACGCCTATGGGCCAACATGAGCACCCCCAATCAAATATTTGATCTGATCGATGCGCTACTCCGTTTCTATGGGTGCTAGGTTTGCGCAACGAATACCTACTTCTGCTACTTGCTACGGCCCAATAATCTTTAATTTATCTTTTACACATTTATTTCACCAACATATACTTAAAATTGTATTTAATGTCGATCGCTTCATAAAAAGTTATTGTGAATTAACGCTTAATTTTTTTTTAATTTCACCAACAACTTATGAAAAACTTAATAATAACGTAATACATTTTCAAGTTTTTTGACTGAACAAAAGATTTTTATTTACATGGTTACTAAAAATAATAATTATCAAAACTTTCTTTTGCCTAAAAACTCAAAAGGTGGTTTCTGATAGAAATTAATTTGGATTTAGTTAGGTACCAGTTGGTAGTTGATACTTTTAGGACTTTAAAAATTGAAATTGTTTAATATTTTCAAAATAACTATTAAAAATAAATTTAAAATATTGAAAAACTTAAGCTAGTTTAAACTAAACTAATTTTCGGTAAAATAGAATTTGTATCTTTAATGTAATTAAAAGAAAAAATATTGTAGTGACTTGCTAAAAAACAGTAAATATATTTTGAAAATGTTATGCTCTATAGAAAATTCCTTTATAAACATCAGGGGAAATTTTAAGTATTTATCGGACGTAGGCACACATTTTAGTATAACAATAAATGTATACAGATCTATTAAATACCGCTAATTGCTCTTCTAACTATTATAAAAATGAATAACAGCTATTTCATTCATACAAAACATAATATTAATCTAAAAATGTAAACTATATTATATTGATTTTTAAATATATATTTAATATAATGTATGTAAAATAGAGTAGGTACCAATAATGGCATAAAAGGTGTAACTCTACAGTAGGTATAAAATCATCGCTTATTCAGACGAGTTCAAAGAATCTACTAAGATAAATAATATTTTAGGGTACATATATGTCATATGTGTCGGATAACTAGTTTCGTAAATTTACCGATGTCTTGTGTTTTTTTAAACATAAAAGTGTGAATTACGTTTAAACTTTCAAAGTTGGCGTATTAATACCTATGTATAAAAGAGTAAGTGTCTAAATGATATACGTATAACGCAAATACCTATTATTGAAAAGCATAATATTTGGAGGTATAAAATATTCTGGTAAATATTGTACAGTAAGTCAGTACCAATAGGTTTTGGGGGTTAGACATTTAGATTGCTTAGGAACAATCCTCAAGAAAGAGATCAAAAGAGGTTATTTATTCAAAACTATTTCTTCGATATATAAGACTTCAGTTCAACAAACATGTTTTGTTTGTCAAAACATTGAACAATTATTATTTGAATGATAGTATGTAAAATGTTGTAGGTGTACTATAAGACAAGAACTTAAAGACTGTGGGTGGATTTAAAGCACTGCAAACTATTGGGCCGCTTAGGGCCGAAAAATTGTGTTGAGTATATTAGTTTTGTTTTTATGCAATGAAATAACACATTTTTTCAAAATGTATTTTAAGTATCTCGTCGATGACGATCTTTATTATAGCTTATCTAATTGTTTATGGATATAAAGTTTATTATATGTTATATACTAAGATACAATACTCTATTGTCTATACCATCGTTTCTCAACCTTTTTAGTGTCGCGACCACCAAAATAAGAATAAAATATGGTCAATCACTTCGAGATCCCCTCCCCCCTCCATCTATATTAGGTAAAAATTAGAACAATAAAAATATCCTATCATTAACCAAACAAAATATAACATTTTAAATATCAATTTATAAATAGCATATTATCTATGTATGTCTTTATCGGGATAATTTTATTATTATTATTTAAATTTTTGTTTTTCAATAAAAAGTCTTAAATATGTAAATAAAAAGGTACATTTTGTAAATCAGCTTTTTATTATTTTTAACCTACGCGCCCCCAAGTCAAGGTGTTTGCGACCCCCCTGGGGGCACGACCCCCTGGTTGAGAAACGCTGGTCTATACGTTATATTATAAACATTTGCTTTAAGGAGGTCGTATTCGGTACGGGTTCACGCGTATACCTACATTTATTTATCTAATAATAATATAGCAGTTTAAAGCAGTCTGAGCTGTTCGCCGACAACTATACTTAGGTTTAGGTACCTACTCGTTTTGAGAGTGATGAGGGATGCCAGTGGTGTTTACTATTCACCCATTTTTGTATAGAATATTGATATTTTAGACTACTTATAGTATAATTTAATATTTATTTTTATTTTACACAATATATTAAATATCAACAGAAAAAAGTCGAGTGGTTCTCAATATAAAAAAAATCAAAAGGAAAAGCTGAAAAGTTAATTCATGTTAAAGACACAAAAGGTAAATTAATTTTTCAAAACAAAAAAATGTATTGGTTATAAATATTATATTTAATTATTATTAATTTGAAATTCACAATGATTCTTTTTCTAATAGAAATAATGCTTTGCATGATTTTCAACTTCAGCGTCTTTTTTGTACTTTAAAGTGGATCTAGTTGGTACTTATGAGTGGTCAAAATTGAAAATTCTCAGTAGTTTTCAAAATGCTGAAAAAACAGGGATTTGTACGTAAATCAGTTTTTTAAATACGCTTTCGTTTTTTTGATGGAAGTAACTAAAAAACTAATAACCATTTGTACTTTAAATGCTCACAGAATGTTTATATTAGCATTTTCTATACAGTATACACCCTACAATTTAGGTATTTCAAGGCACATGAAAATTGTTTGACCTTCATTATTTTTTTTTTAATTATTGCTCAGTCAAAAAACTCAAAAATTGTATACAATGTTCCTCATGATTTTTTGTTAGTTGAAATTTAAAAAAATCTGAGCTACATGCTTAGGCAAAGTATGGGAAATAAGCCTTGTATCTACCTTATATTG